TGAATATAAATTATATACAAATATCTGTATTATGTGCATTCAATTTCTTCCAAAATTTAGCTTTTAAAAAAAAAGTACAAACTGAAAATACAAAGTCAATTTCTTCCAAAATTTAGCTTTTAAAAAAAAAGTACAAACTGAAAATACAAAGGAAAATACTTTTAATGTATAGATTTTATTTCAAAATTATATTAGAATAATTTTAGTTAATTTATATTTCTGAACAGAATCTAGAGTCAGAATAAATTTTAAAGGAAAATATATAAAAATCAGGCCAGTTTGGAGTCATTTGGTAGCAAACTGAACTATTTTCAAGGACTTGAGTATAACTTATTAAATGTAAGTAAAATATTTAAAAAATTCAGTGTCTAATAAGTAAGGAAATGTTTTGGTAATATTCACCAAAACATAATTGTAATGTATTAGCTACATTGAAAATAAAAATCAACACAAAAGTGAGTGGATATTTTCCCTACTAAATTTTTGAAAATTTTTGTGTGAGGTCATTTTATATCTGATCATTCAATTAGTACTTCTGAGTTTCAAATAATATAAGTTAAAGAGAAAGGTCTGTTTTTTGTAAGAAAAGCTCAGAGTGGACAGATTTGGTCAGCAAAATTCCTAGATAACTAAAACAAGTAGAACAATTTCTGAATCCAGTCCCAAACAATGAACTAAATAATATCTAGCTTTCATTTTTTATTGCTTTACTAAACAGTACAGGAACTGTTTGCATTTTTGACCATGGTCTTTCTAAAAGACCCTACATTTTATCCTCATAGGCTTAACATTATAAACTACTGCTGCTTCTCCTAGATTAAATTCTTTACTTGCAATTCAAAAGTAAGTTTGGTTCCCAATAGCTGCTTTGACCTACTAACACGGGCTATTCAAGAACTGGCTTGAAGAAAAATATATGATCAACTCAATTGACAAATTCAATCTGATGTAGTATCTAGAGAATCAAAACTATCTTTCAGAATATGGTTATTTCCACATTTGATCTGACAAGCCATCAAACCCAGAGACTAGAAATTCCATTAAATTTAAAAATTCAAACACATTGAGAAAGTTATGGAACCTTTAGGAAATTTTTTTTTGTTAATTTAGAGAGGCAATAATAGAAAATAAAGCAAAAAATAAGATTGGCTCATTGATGAGAAAAGCACTAATTGTTGAATGTGTGTGATTACTAAAACTTCCTAACAGATTACTTTCTCTCTAAAGTCACAATGAGCTTAATTTTGTTCCATTTATTTCTAATACTTATAAATACTAAGATTCACCTAAGTGAGGTCTTATGATTACATTAACATAAGCAATTCATATCTGTACCAAAAAGGCCAGCTTTAAACAAAATACTGTAGTTTCAGAAGGAAAATTTAGTTTATTTAAATATAATATCATGTGGGCACCTCTACCTGCTTCACACTTTTTTCAGGTTGGAGTCAATAAAAATTTATAAGGTTCAGGTACAAATTGTATAAAAGTTATTATATCAAAATTGTATCAGAAGTTATAAAATGGCCCCAATTTTCTCAGAAAACTTAAAGTTCACTTTTTTCTTTTCTGTCTTGTCTCAATGCTATAAAAATTATTTCTATTCCTTAGTTCTGCATCATTCTCATAATCCATGAGATGTACAGCATGCAATTCTGTAACCAGAATCACATCTTTGGGAGGCAAACTGATCTCGCTAAATAAAAAGAAGCACGAAGTGGGTGAGCTTTGAAGATTTGTGTCTTCTCCAAAGATTTTAGGTTACTGAAATACTTCATATGAAATTCACAACACACAAAGAATCTTATCTGTGTTCTTTTACACACTGCACTTTGGTATCACACTATTTTCATGGACAATCAGGTTCCATTTGTTCATCTTGCTAACAATCACCAGTCCTTTACTAACAGAAGCAAGAAAATGAAATTGAGAGGCTGTATTCTGCCTACCTATAAATCATAAAGTGGTGAAATAATTCCCAATCGCTCTTAATTTGTAGCTCTCTTTTTTATTAAGCATTTCCTTATCTTCTAAGAAAGGACCCCAAATTTTTAGGCACACACAAAAGAAGTATTCAATTTTTAAGAGTAGAGATTTATGGCCAGGTAGAGACTTTCATAAGACATAAGAATATTTTGACTTTTTAAAAGGTGATTTCTTCTGCTGTGTGTGTGTGTTGTGGTTGTTGTTGTTGGGGATCAAACTCAGGGCTCTGTGCATGCTGGGCAAATATTCTACCACTGCTCTCCTCAAAAGCTGATTTCTAAACTTTCTTCCTATGACATTGTTTTTAACAATTCAGGGGCTAAAAATATTTGTAATTTCATTTTCACTTCACTTTGAAATGTGTAAATGTCACTCCTCTAGTCTGGTCAACTTAAATTCTTGTTACAACTCAGTGTGTTTACATAATTTTTTCCGAGTTGGCATCTTCACGTCTTTGTTATGTCGGTTAATACTCAGATATAACACTCTTCTCTTACATTTGCTTGTCTAACAACATGGAAACTTAAATTTTATTGTGAGTGCTGGTTTGCCATAAGGAAGATTCATTTATGTGAATTCCGACCAATGTATCATTATTTACTGTTGCTTTTAAAGTTAACAGCGAATAAAAATTCAATTTATTGAATTAAAGGGGAACAAAACCCCACACATCATGTTTAGTAAATATTTTATTGGACTCAGTTATCTATATTAAAGATTAAATAAAACCATAGGAGAATAAATCTTGAAGCAATTACTTGCAATTCATTATAAAGAATTTCTAAGGGCCAGGGATTTAGCTCAGTGGTTTCGCTGCCTGCCTTGCAAGTGCAAGGACCTGAGTTTGATCCCCGGCACCAAAAAAAAAAAAAAAAAAAGAATTTCTATGACATCGTAATGGCAATCTATGAAAATAATATAAGAATTAAATTATATGATTATGATTTCTATTTTACTGAAAATTATTCTACAAATATTTCCATTTAGTGTCTCTTGAACTTTTGTTCCTATTGCTTGTCATTACACACCTAAGCACTTGTAAATTTAATACAATCCACATTTTTTATAAATACATAAATAAAATTAGCAATGACAGAGAATTTTGCTTTCTGTCCTCATACCTATGACAAGAATGATTTTTGGTCGAGGTCTAGCAGGATCAAAAACCTCATACTCTTCGATTAACTCTGCAGTCTCTGAGAGATCTGTGTCACTTTCTATGGAAAATTGGTGGATTGGAGGGAGCCGATCATACCGCCGATATGGAAAATTTGAATTTTCAGGCATTACTGCAAAAAAGTAAGATAACTCTGAAAAGGAATAAAAGCATGATAAAACATTTTTCACATTTAATCAATTAGGAGAAGTTTAATTAATGAGTTTTGATTTGTCATTGCAATTGGAAGAAGACTTCCTAAGTGGTCAGTAAACTTTTTCTTAAAGGGCCAGATAGACAATATTTTAGGCTCTAAGAGTCACAGTATCTTACTAAAGCCAGCCATGGTAGCATGAATGCAGCCACAGACAATCCATAAATAAATGAACATGATTGTGTTCCAATAAAACTTTATTAAAACAGATAGTGAGCTGGACTTGTCCATCCCCTTCACTAGAGGAACGTTCTGAGACACTGTGTAGTGTTGCTTGGTAGGTTGTATACATCCTGGTCTCTGCAAACACTGCTTCCTTGAGTTGTGCAGTACATAATCTTCACAAGCACATGCAACTACTTGTGGAGTCAATCATTCATTCATTCTCTCACTATGGTCCAGGATCTCTGTGGACCAGGGGAATAGTTGGGTGCCATAAGAATAAACAAATTTAGAATCGTATTATAGCTAGGTTAGAAGGGTGCAAATAATTTCTACATTTCAACATCATTACTTTTACTTTCCCAATATTTACTATCTTTAACTTACTTGATTTAAAATATAAATATGAAGGTTTACATTTAAATCTATAATGGGAAGAGATATTTGCCATATTGCCAGGCATGTTAAAGTGTTGAGGGTGACTCAGTAGAAGAGTAAGATGTAGTCCTGTCTCTTCAGTGCTTACAAATTAGAGTTTATATGCTTATATCTGACAGCTGCATGCACTAGGCAGGAGAAGTGCTAGAATGCAAATCTCTCAAGGTAAACACCACAGAAGATCAAAGAACAGGTAAATCCATTTAGGATGGAGTGGTAGGAAAGGATTTGCAAAAAGGCAGGACCAGAACTTTGAAAGACAAACAAAAGTGATGAAATGTAGAATGTATATCCCAGTTGGTGGGCCTAATACCAAGATTCAGAGTCTGAAATACAAATGACACAGTCCAAGGACCAGAAGCCAGTCCTGACAAGCACAGATCAGGCAGATAGATGGTCTCAACCTATCCACTGTGATTATGGTTCATGGCTTCTGCACCCTATGTGTCAATGTCGCAAGAGGCACAGGGAAGCCCTAACTATCCAAAGAGCACCGACCAAACAGGATACTGCCTGGCCTTGCATGAAAGATTCTGCTAAAGTAGCTACTGAATCTAAGGATGGCACAGTGCTGGCATCTCCTCCCAGGGGTGTCAATCAGTTAAAACTTTCCATTCTCTGTTGATAAAATAAAAGAGGCCACTGGCTATTGACTTACTAGATTTGTTTTAATTTCATAAAAAGAGTTGAGTAATCTGTAGATGATAGTGAACAGAAAATGATGGGAAAGCTATGTTAGGAAAGGTACTAACAAAAGCAACCTGCTCTGCCTTGAAATTTTTTTTTCTCTTTTGGTACCGGGGATCGAACTCGGGACCTTGCACTTTCGAGGCAGGCGGCAGAACCACTGAGCTAAATCCCAGCTCTGCCTTGAAATTTAATTACTTCACCCAACACAAGGCAGAACTCTAAGCATTATCTTTGATTACTTTCTTCCCTCACTTATGTCATATAATGACTTCATCACCAAAACATATTCCAAATATATACATTCTTTTTTTTTTTGGTACTGGCAATCAAACTTAGGGCCTCATGCTTGCCAGACAAGTACTGTACCACTGAGCTACATCCTGGCCCCCAAATGTATATATTCTTTTCTCCATCTCCACTTCTACAACCCTTTCCCAAGGCGACTTCATCTTCTACCTGGACTACTGTAACAAACGCTTCACTGGTTTTCTTGCTTTTGTATTTGTCCCCACAATCTAGTGTCTGAAACACTCTTCACCCTGGGTCCCATGCCTGACTGCTTCTTGTCAATCAGAACTCAACTTAAATGTCACCCCCTGTAAGGGGACTTAACTGACTTTCTGATTTTGTGTAGCCATGTCTCTTGAGAGCATCACTTTAATGCTCTGCACAGCTTCTGTCACTTAACCATCTGAGAATTTTTCATTCATTCATTGTCTTCTACTAGATCGTATGTGCCAGGAGAGAAGAACTTTACCTATCATTCATTTGGAATTCTGAATCCTTGACATCTAGTACTGTGCTTGGCAGCTAGTCAGTGTCTAGTAAATATTTGCTAATTAATAACAAAGAACACTTTGCTGAAAAAGATAGTTTCCCATAAGGAAAATCCAAAAGATAAGATGGGCAGGTAGAATGTGGCCACAGTATGAAAAATCTTGAATACCAGGGTAAAATGTTTAGCTTTAACCAATTAAAATCCAGTGGAGGTTGTGAGGTGGGGGCTTAGAGGACAGATAGAATGAAATAGATTTCTTAGGACAATTAATTTGATGGACGTTAGAATGGATATGAGTAGGGAAAGACTAAGAGTAGCAGCCAGGAGGCTGTTAAAATGATTCACAGGAGAGAAATGAGGGCTTAGGCTACAGTAGTAGTCGGGGAAATGAAAATGAATGGCCAGATTTAAAGAATGTGGTCAAGGCTGAATACAAGAAATGAAAGGAAATGACAGCTCAAAGGCAATTTCCAGGTTTCATGTCCAAAAGAACCAAGAACACCCTGAACTTTATATAGTAGCTTTCTTTGCTGTTGCAGAAATACTGGGCTTCTCTCATTCCTGACCACATCACATCCTCTTTGTCTATGTCAAGAACTTCCGTTCTCTGTTCCTTGGTACGTTTGCAATCTCCTCCTTCGCTAGTGTACACAAACTCCAGTTTCTGTTTTCAAGTATTAGCGTATCATTTCTTTCAGGACGCCTACCCGCATCCCTATCTAGGTTGGATTCAGCCCCTGGTTAATATGGTCAGTTCCATAACATATGAGATTTCCTGTAGCACTACTAATAAATTTTTTTTTTTTGGTACCAGGGATCAAACCCTGGTCCTTGCACTTGTGGGCCAGGTGGTGGAACCACTGAGCTAAATCCCCAGCCCTACTAATTAATTTTTAATGCCTGATTTCATTGCTAGACTGTAAGCTCCCTGAGGACAGACATATGTCTGTTCTTGGTGGCTGTAATCTCAATTCTAAAAGAATATCTAGCCGGGGATTTAGCTCAGTGGTTTCACCGCCTGCTGCACAAGCGCCAAGGACCTGAGCTCAATCCCTGGTACCAAAAAAACCCCAAACAAACAAACAAACAAACAACAACTTTAAAAGAATATCTAGCACATAATAGTACTCAATAAATGGTTACCTTATTGCCCAATGGACTCAGTGACTGATTTCATGGAAATAGGAAAAGGAGTAATGTTAGTTTTGATATAATTATGATATATTCGGTTTTAGCCATGTTGAGTATATGACAATGAGATATTCCAGGAAATATCTACAGATAGTTGAGACCAGAACTCTTATTCACATGTAATTACTTCTTCAATTTTATGCATATGACAAGGAAAAAAAGAATGCTCATCTCAGATTTAATATGTTAAAGAACTATCAGCAAATACTTTATTTTTGCCTTGTCATATTTTAATTTAGAAAAGTAATTTGCTTAGGTGACAAAAATATTTTATGTGATAGAATAGTTTTTAGGATAATTATATGTTAACATACATACGTCAATATTTTTATAAAAATTCATGAATCCCTGTATTTCTAGAAATATTCATTTTGTTTTATGTTACTGAGCAGTTAGCAATTTTGTTGAATTTTACAAATTCTATTTCACAAATTTAACAAATTCTATTTGTGAAAAAAAACTTACAAAGCATAAATAGGTAAAACATTTCATATAAAATGTTATCATAACAGGATAAATCAGTTTAGAAAATATTTTCCATTTTCTAGCATATGCTCCAGATAGTGGGATACAACATTCTTGTCACCACAAAACATAGAAAAGGTTCTACTTGATCATTAATAAAAAGACCTCTGGCTAGGAAAGCTGGAAAAGTATTAGAAGGCATGGAAACCCTAAACTCAACAAGCAATTTTACTTTATTGCCACTTAAACCAGCATTTTCATTTCACATTCTAATTTATTCTGGTAGATCAAGAGTTCCAAAGCTGGTCACTCATGAACACAATACAGCCCACAGAAGTGTTTTGTTTAGCATGACATTGTTCCAAAATTGGTATTTGAGTGCTTTAGATGATGACTAAGCTCTCTAGCTCTGCTCTCTCATTGGGCCAACAGTCCTCACCATTCTCTATTACATTTCCAGCTTGGCTAGTTTCCATGAAGCATCAAGACAAGTAACCGTAGCAAGGTTCAGTTTTGTTGCAAACCATTACTTTCCATACCAGTCTTAGAATGACTTATTAACTAACTGAATGTCATAACTCCTTAGACTTGATTTTTAACATGGCAAAATATCTTAGGTTAAATCTAATAACATGTCAGATTTATCAGTTCTCTAGAATTACCTCAATTTATCTAGCAAGGACAAGAAGCATATATTTGACACTGGGCCAGATTCTGGCAGCTTGATACCTCAGTGAGGAGGGGCGAGTTGGTCATCTGGGGAAGGTTCATGAACTTCTGAAGCGTACTAAAATACTTTGTCTACCCAAAGGCAGATATGTACCAAGAAGTGTGCTGCAGCATAACTGGCTAAAGTCACTCTGCTGACTGCAGGCCACAGAGGCGCCAAATCCACACGGTGTGTATGCGGTTTGGATTGGAGCCCTAAACCAACTCTGTTCATTTGCTACTCTGTGTATTCTACGCTGCTCTCAGTAAATCAGAAACCTCACTGATTTACAGAGAGTGAATTTTTCAACTTGGAACTGACATCCTGTTATTAGCTACAAACTGGGTCTATGGAAGAGTAAAAATCTCTTTAGAATTGGATGGCTCTATGGATCAAATCAAAATATTAGGTACTAATTCAATTTTGCAAGCATTTGAAGACATGACCTCAACCTTAGGACTTACCACAGAATGTAATGACATGGTTTATTATGTACTGAGTGTTGTT